CTTTGAAACTAGTTTGATTTCGCAGCGCAAGAACCTTCATTTCGGTAAAGGAATAGAAGCGTTCACCGCTTAGCTCTAAATAATGCTCAAAAATCGGCAAGTAAACCATAATTTTTTCCGAATATGTGCTGCTCAATAGTAATGGTGCAGTAAATGAACAGCAGTGAGGACAAACTACTTGAAGAGCTCTAATGAAAATTTGAGGAATTTCATTCAGTTTCGGATGACTCGTTTAACGTTCTTACTGTATGAATCTTACCCTTCTAAAACAGGGTTTTAAAACCACTCCAACATTATTTGCTGAAAATTTAAAAATTTCTCCGAGAAGCTCCCTATTAAACCGCATCCTAAAAATGTTTCGAAAATAACGGGAATGAAGCGCGTAGCACCAATGCAGGACGATGATGCCACTAAGTGAACAATAAGCAGCAGGGCTCCTCAGTACCTCAGCAAAGAAACGTAGCAATATGAAATAAAAAGTGCATGTTTTGGACCTGAGTCCCATTCAAGAAAAAACCTACTCGAGCAAAAAAGCAAAGCTCTTTTACAAAAATCGGAAACAAAAAATAGCAAGTATTCTCAAAAACAACGTCCACCAGGTTTGAAAAAACAGCTTTGGTAACGAAAAGAGATTAATTTGCAAATAAATTGGAACAAGGGGAAAATGGTAAAACAACATAGATTTCTTTGAAAAAAGACCAATATTTCTTAACAATAATGTAAACATTGGATGAAGCAAGTCTTAAAAATGTAAAATCTACAGTATAAAGGCAAGAACAAAGAAACACTTATAACCTGTTTCATTCATCGATAGTAAGAAAACTACCTTCAAACTAAATTTGAATTGTCATTAACGCTCTGCAACCGTCTTTTTCAAAAAATTGCATTAATCAGTGGAAAAGAGTTCTATTTAATGCCACATCCCATTACAAAAAGTGAGAAAAGAATTTAACAAAAAAACCTTAAACTAAACTTAACCTTTTCAATTTCTAACGTGAAACTAAGACAGATAAACGCCATGTAGAAAAACATCAACAACTCCTGTTTTGAAACATCGCTAAGATACCAACTTTATGCTCACACCAGTCTCTAAACTTAAGGGTCTCCCTCAAGTGAGAATAAATACAAAGAAAATCTACTTTTCTGATGGCCCGAGTGCGATTCCATAAGAAGTCGTACCACACTGACAAATCCTCATCTTTTGCTGGAATCTCCTCAGCGATCTTTAAAAATACATCCAATAAAAAGATGAAAAAGCTAAAAAAAATTAATCCTTTCGTTAAAAAATTATAAGAAATTTTATACCAAAATTACTGCACCTTTCCAATGAGATAGTTCATCGTACGCCGCAAAATAGGCGCTGGCCGTAGTTCATGAGGCAAAGGCTCTTCCTAAACAAATACCGGAGAAAATAAAGACAATATAAATTCTGAATATTCTTAAACAAATCTCTTTTTCCATTTGAAAAACAAGAAGCTCCTCACAGCGCTCATACCTGATCTGCTGCACTCCTGCTGTAGTCTTTGACTGTGATATCAGGAACCATTGTTCCAGATGAATCACATTCGTAAGGGCTGATTCTTTTTTGTACTACACGCAAATAACGTTCTTTCTCAGGGCACATGTCCGCACAAGTTCCCTGTGATGTCATTAGAAAATTGAATATGATTTCTCAAACAATAAATCACAATTTAGCATAACTTAATTAAGAAGAAAATGGAAAAAAAATTAGCACAACTTAATAACTAATTAAGAAAACGACACAAAAACTTTGAAATACAAAATAAAAAATTTTTCTAACCCATTAACTTGAGACGTATTTTAGAAAATCTGAAAAATTCTGCTCTTCAAATATTACTTCGTTTGACTATCCGTAAGTAAGATAAGAATACCTGTACAATATTTGCATCTTCCACGTGAGCTTTTCTAACACGAACTTTCGACAAAATTTTGTCCCTTTCATCCAGAAGTTGATACATTTCGTACTCTCCTTCACAATATCTTCCATACAGTTTTTTAAGCTCACGTACTAAAACAAGAATAACAGATCTCAAAAGCAGCAAAACTAGAGGTTACAAATAAGCAGCTTTAACACGTGCGTTTCTAATGCGATTATCCCAGCAGTAGTTGTAAAAATTTCCACAAGGTTTACACCCTTTATAAAAAGTCTGACATCACCCAAAACTTCTTCAAAAAACTTGCGTTAAAAGAGCTCTTCACTAAGATTTCAGAGAAAAATAAAACATACAATAGATGAACCCACTAGTAATCTTAATGAATTCACCTTCAAAACGACTTAACGTTTCAATGGCGCCACTCTTTTAAAGAACACCAAATATCAGCATGACATTTCACACTCAAGAACACAACACTCCTTCCCCTCCTAACTGGTAAATGTTCAGTAGTTCCAATTCATTTCGAACTCTAGACTAGAACTACGCAAGCTTCCAAAAAGCTATTAAATCGAAACACGCAAAAAACAAAGAAGAAAAAGGAATTTACTAGTAAATGCAGACAAATACGACCAGATAAGAAATTTAAAAAAAATCAAAGATCATAACAAGAAAAGTGTACCGACTGTTTTTTTAGGCAGAAAGCCACTCCTGTCAGTTTTCCTGGGCTTTTTCTGAGGTACCTCCACAAGGTTTTTTGTTGTAGTAATTGAGTGGTTTTCATCCTCCGTTCCACTATTCACTACCTTCTAAAGGAATCAATTTTGTTGAAGTACTCAAAGCCTCTTTGAAAAACAACCAAAAGTTATTTTTTTAAAAACGGGTCAACCGTTTTGATTCGACGAAATCTGTTGTCAACCCCGCTACGAATTGTACCCAACCTAGACGACGTTAACCTTTTTGTCAAAATCGCATACTTTGCTGGATTAAGCGGATGTCTCTTTGTACCATCAGGATCTTGAACTTTTGGCACTATAAGCTAACACAATTCAGTCCTGACAATATAATGATGCTATAAGCACCTCAAAAGCTATCTAAACTTTCAACAAAAAAGTTCAAATAACCTCTGTAAATTCGAAAAAGTGGTTCTGAATTTTTTCCAGCAGACCTCCGCCGAGATAGTACCGTACCAGCTGTAGTTGATGGTTTCCTTGCGGGTCTTTTCAGTGGAGAAAACACAGGAGAACTTTTTGGAACCCTAAAATAATTATAAATTTTCCTTTTTCAAAATGTAGCTATAAAATAAATGAACATCAAAATCAGTGAGAAGCTTAGTCCAAAGTATTTACAAAACTGATCTCAATTTTAAATCCTCTATGTGTTCTTTTCGAAAAACTTTGAAAAATTATCAAAATGGCATACTTTTTTGACACCTCTGAACTTCCGCCAGCTAACGCCATGAGCCTTCATGTAAACTAAAAGGCACGTTTTGAAATTAGAATGTTGAAATCCATATAACTTTCCGGAAACTTCAGAATTCTGAAAATGATGCGTTGAAAATCCCAAAATATTTACGAAGGAAATGAACAAGTGTCTCATAAAAACAAGCGGCATTAGTACCATACAGAGTTGAAAAAAAAAAGAAAGACATCCAATACACGCAAGAATAACTTTTAATAAAAACATTTTTGCCACTTTCCTCTGAATCCAGCAAGTAAACGAGGCCATAATGACCTATGTAAGCCCTACTGAATATCAGATAAGACAAAGCTTCTTCCGATCATATCAGACTTGCTACAAAAATTCAGCTTCATGGTGACGTTTCATTCACACTTCTGAGATAGCGTTCAAAAAAACGTTTAAAGTATATTCATACTCAGTTTGCTCACGGTAATGTTCAAAATTATCAACAGTTTCTAGGATAATGCCTCTAGTTTAAAAAAGCAATAAAACAAAGTAAAAAATAAATATGAATCGGCAGTAACCCGTCAAGACCTAAACTTCAGTAAGCACATTTCAATGTCGCGGTACGCATACGGTTTAAAGTATTCTTCCTCACTCACCATAAAAATGGACAAAAATTTAAAGGAATAAAGAAAAGAAAAAGAAAGGTTAGACTCAAAAAGAAACATATATACGTTTGCAAAACTGCACAAAGACTAAACTATAACGTTAAACACCAGAAGTAAAAGTTAATAAGAAAAAATTTTGCAAAAACAGTATTTGGCATCTGTATACTTGTCAAATTTTCTCGCTATACCTCTTCAGCCCCAAACCTTCTTTACTAATTTTTGAGCAGCTGCAATGTAAAAAAACTACGTGATAATTCACATATTCAAATAAATAAATTAATTAATTAATATATATATATATACATATATATACATATATTTATTTATTTATTTATACATGATGTGCACTGATCCAGGATATATAAAAGTATCTACGAAGTAAAACCGTTTGAGAACATACTGAGCACGCAGCACAGTTTGAAGGCAAAGGATGACGAGAGACTATGCATCAGCCTTGCTGGATGTCTGCTCTCACAATCTGTGTAATGAAACTCCGATAAAGTATATATTCCGTAGAGTCCACAGGGGCGACGGTGAACAAGTTCTTAGAACAGGCAAGAAAATCTTTTTAACGAATCAAAGAGTAGTGAAATTCTCGTTTATATTGTGCTGCAAAATCAGAGTCTTCCGAACATAAAATGAACTTTTCAGTTTACCGGGGCTTTCCAGACACTGTGAAAGACCGAGCGCCTAACGACAATTGGAAAAAGATTTAGGCGGTAGAGTTAGCTTAAACTTACAGAGTCCGGTTGCACCTGATTTCCTGGCTTTTCTTCCCTACCTTTTAACTTGAATCTTTAGAGTTCCAGTATTCCTCCTTAAGAAGCACCAAATTATTTCCAGTTACTCCCAAAGGGTCAAAAAACGCTTTACTTATCTCAAGTTGTTTTCACAATGTAAAAGAGTTGGAAAAGTTTTTTCAGGTCATAGTTTCAAAGTTTTTTCTAGCTCAGTTGAACAGCTATGAAACTGTTTGGGTGCTTTTTCTGTGCTGCTCCTCGAATCTTGAGCAGATGGCTTTTATTTTAACGGCTATGGCCGTTGTTTTTCTTGGACAATTTTTAGTAATCTTCTACAATTATAGCCTCTATAAATCTGTATGAAATCTTAGAAGAATGTTTCGTTGCTCAGTAGGAACATTTTGGGGTAATTACTGCTAATTCAAAAGGGCAGCGGAAGCGCTGGGACTGAAGATATAATATGAGAGGGAAAAAGCGACGCGATCAATTTGTAACAGTCCTTTTGATGCATACGTGTACTTTTTTGTCTTAAATTTTTTATTTCACCATTTCTGTAAGAAGGA